GCCAAGGCCAAAATACGGAAGAATTCAAATAACATGCTTTATGACAACCAAACCAGAAACCAAGACAGGACACTGAGATATCTTCAAAATTAGTTTAAATGCCTAAAGAATGGCTCTGATAGGCCCATGGCAGTCACGTGACTTTGGAAAATGCGGGTGCAACGTCGATGTGATGACGCAAGCATGTTTGCGAGCTGCACTACGCACTGAACCTAATAAGCCATAAAAGGTTCAACTGCACAGCAGTTGGCATCTCTTCTGCTTTCAGACGCGGTCGCCGTGAATGTATGGCCTAGCACTATTGTCGGCTGTGGCGAAAGCCACTTCGCCACTGGGGTTTGGAGGGGACTACTTTCCAGCCTTTTACCCTGTGACTATGGTTAAAAAAAAATAAACTATTTGTACCTATTAGGACTTTGGACAATAATTTTTCCACTACGTGCCACTACGAACCACCGAATAGCCGGACCACACGCAAGTGGAGTGTGCAGCCTATTTACCTCCCAGGCTGGTAGCTAACCACAGCCAAATTGGCGAATGGCTGGGTGAACGCCGTTCATATAGTTGAACACGTGATGGCGGCCATCTTAATTAGTCAAACGTGTTCAGCTGTGTTTTGTCGTCGAGTTCATAGAACTCAAATCGGACACGTTGAACATGTTCTTAGGTTTTTCTTTTGTGCAAGCTATAGGGAAATAAGTACAAGTAGCACTTTGCTATTTCCAAACCATTTATTTTTTCTCCAAAATTAACGCAAGTTACATTGTATCACTGATATCTGCCAGGAATCCATGAATAACCCTTCACATGTATATATTTTTTAAAAGAAGACAACCTGAGGTATTAAACTTGGTGTACTTTTACTCTTTCCATGCAACCATTTTACCACCAATCTATGCCAAATTTAAAAAAAAAATGAATTGGTGATTTTTTTTGACACACATAGCAATTTAAGAATACATGTAAGAACTGTAAGGGTTACTGCCACAGAACATTCCAATAAGTGTTCAGCAACATCTCCTAAATACAGTGATACCACCCATGTACAGGTGTGTCGGGTTCCCTGGGGGCTAAAGACCTTATTTGGAGGGTGCGCATTCCAGTTTTCCAACTTGGAATTTTCACATCTGGTCATCATGCATCCATGTCCAATTTAGGACATGTTTGAAACCGGCCAATGTAATTTACCCCCATCATACCATATATTTTTGAAAAGTAGACACCCAAGGGTATTTCAAATGGTGTCATTTTAACACTTTCCATGCACTAATTCTACCTCCAGTCTTTGTCAAACTTTTGGGTAGTCATTTTTGTGTGTTATTTTTCACTCACATTGTACTTGGCATGGATTCTCAGTTCATGTTGTGTGTTACTGACAAAGAACACCCTAATATGTGTTCAGCAACATCTCCAGAGTACAACAGTGCCCACAATGTACATGTTTTATGGGTTTTTGCAAACTTACAGGGGTCAAATGTAGGGTTTTCCCTTTTTCATGTTTTCCCATGTTTTCCATGTTTTTTGTTTTCCATGTTTGCACATTGAAATTTGCCAGATTGGTTTGCTGGGCCTATGTTGCCTTTGAGACCGTATAAGCCCAGGAATTAAAATTAACCCCATCATGACATACCATTTGTAAAACTGGACAACCCATGGTATTCAAAATGGGGTATGTCCAGTCATTTTTAGTAGCCACTTAGTCACAATGCCTGGTTAAAATTAGCATTTATATATATTTTTTGCATTTTTCACACATACACTGCCATTTCACCAATGATATTATCAGTATAATACATTTTAGTGCTCTAAAACACTCACATTTGTGTAGAGTAATGTCTCACGGGTACCACAGTACCCCTCAAGTACAGGTTTTATGGTGATTTGGAAAGTTACAGGATCAAACATAAGATTTGCCAATTTCTGTTTTTCTAAATTGCTATTCTCAGATTGGCTATGTTGCCTTTGAGACGGTATGGCAGCCCAGAAATGAAAAGTAACTTCACCATGACATACCATTTGAAAACGTAGACAACCCAGGGTATTCAAAATGAGGTATGACCAGTCTTTTGTAGTAGCCACAAACGCTGTACAAAGTTAGCATTTTTATTTATTTTTGCATTTTTAAAAAAACAAACTGCACTTTTACTGGTCATTTAATCGTCGTGATAAGTTTGACTTTTTAAAACTCTTATTTGTGTTTAACGAAGTCTCCCGAGTATAACAATACCCCCCATGTAAAGTTTTTATGGCGTTTTGGAAAGTTACAGGGTTAAATATAGGGCTTGCCAATTCAATTTTCTGGACTGTCTGCCTCGGTTGTCAGGCAGGTCCCTCAAATTATAATTAATAAAATCAAATAATTATGTAGTTAATAGTTAACTACCGTATTTTTCGCTCCATAAGACGCACCTAGTTTTTAGAGGAGGAAACCCAGAAAACAAAAATATTCTGAACAAACTGTTCCATAGTGTTTCTTACCATGGGACAGTTTGTTCAGAATATTTTTTTTTCTCCCCTGTCCCATAATGATCTTTAACCCCCCTTTCCTCTGTCCCATAGTGATTGTTAACCCCTCCTCCCTGTCCCATAGTGTTCTTTAACCCCTCCTACCCTTGTCCATTAGTGTTCTGATCCCAGAGTGTCCCCCCTCCCATTGTTCCATAGTGCACTTTCCCTCCCATAGTGTCCCCCTCCCCTTCTCCCATAGTGTCTCCCCCTCCCCTTCTCCCATAGTGTCGCCTCCTCCCCTTCTCCCATAGTGTCCCCCTCCCTTTCTCCCATAGTGTCCTCCTCCCCTTCTCCCATAGTGTCTCCCCCTCCCTTTCTCCCATAGTGTCTCCCCCTCCCTTTCTCCCATAGTGTCCCCCTCCCTTTCTCCCATAGTGTCCCCCTCCCCTTGACCCATAGTGTCCCCCACCCCTTCTCCCATAGTGTCCTCCTCCCCTTCTCCCATAGTGTCCTCCTCCCCTTCTCCCATAGTGTCCTTCTCCCCTTCTCCCATAGTGTCTCCCCCTCCCTTTCTCCCATAGTGTGTCCCCCTCCCCTTAACCCATAGTGTCCCCCTCCCCTCGTCCCATAGTGTCTCCCCTCCCATTGTCCCATAATTACTTACCTGTCTTGGAGCGTGGGCCGGCTTCACAGCGCGCTCCGCGGTCCAGGAACTAATATTTCAGGTTCCGGTTTCCGGCGGGCCTGAAAGGAAGTGTGCACACTCAGTGTGCACACTTCCTTTCAGTCCCGCCGGAAACCGGAACCTGAAATAGAAGTTCCTGGCCGCGGAGCGCGCTGTGAAGCCGGCCCACGCTCCAAGACAGGTAAGTAATTCTTCACATTCGCTCCATAAGACGCACAGACATTTCCCCTCACTTTTGAGGGGAAAAAAAGTGCGTCTTATGGAGCGAAAAATACGGTATATATGTGTAGAATGTGTGTGTATATATAATATACAATTAAAATATATACACACACACTTAATAAGTGTGTATATAATACGTGTGTGTGTGTATATACAAACTCCTCATGTCCCGCACTCACTGCTCCCGGTCTTGTAATGTCTTGGTGCTAATCCTGGCCATAATATAGAATACCTTGTAGGAAAGCACTCACAGGACTTGATATGGTTCAAAAATAGTGCTTCTTTATTGCAGCAATAATTTCAAGTAGAAAGTGTCAACGTTTCAGTCCCATCTGGACTTTTATCAAGACAATTAAACAGTGAAAAAACAGCCTTTAAATATGCAGTGATCAGATGTTCATTGGAAGGTGAAAACAAGGTGGAGTTAGGTCATAATTGACGTGTCTGTTTGCAAATAACGTAATCAGGATAATTGGTATGTTGTTCCACAGGGATAGATAGAAAATAATTAAAAATACAAACACATAACAGTACATAATAACATAAATACATCTATATACATAGTATAGAAATAGTTATAGGGATAATACCATGGCACCAGCATGTATGCTAAATTACTCAGGAGTAAAGGGAGTTATATAGAATTATTCACTAATAAAGTGCCACATGGCTAAATAATCCCAAATAACCAGGGAGTATCACTCCCATCACTAAGGCACTAAGGACTCCCATGCCAGGCAGTTGATGCACATTAGACTCAATGAAATGGCTTATTGTCTTTAAGTTATAATATCAGTGGCTAACTTAATTGTAGCCCTCATACTGAAATGTGACTACTTTTAGCTGTTGCAATTTAGATAATGTTTAATCCTGTCTTGATAATTACATAGTCAATTCATTAATACACAGAGCTCACCATATTCAATTCATAATTAATGGAACCATACATGGTTAAAGTTGTTATAATCTAATTAAAAATCAGCTAAGATTACTCAACATAGAGCCGAGAATAACTAAATCATAATCTATAATGAACTAGATATACAAGCTCCTTGAAAATATCACGGATATGTACAGAATATGTTAAAGAAATTTTTACCACTGATGTATTGTACTTAACTATATATTATAGTAATGATAAAAATATTTATCTTTTAGGTAGAAAGCAATATAATGGATTTTTTTCATTGAGTCCACGGGGGGGCATAGTGTCAAGGGTGTAGATCCAATACGCTTCCCTCTGTAATAAACGTGTATCTTTGTCACCTCCCCTGGATAGGGCAGGGACATGATCAATGAATCTAAGGGAGGCCCATGAATCTAAGGGAGGGAAGTGTATGTCCAGCCTCCAAAAAATGCCTTGCCACAGGGGTATTTGCTGTATTATTCTGAATAGCCAAACGTACAGTGGACCGATGTCCCCTCATCCTCTCTCTCAAATCATTTCAAGTTTTTCCCACATAGACTAAGCCACATGGGCACACCATCTGATATACCACATGAGTTGTTATACAAGTAATTCTTTATCTAATTTTGTACTTCTTTCCAGTTCTTGGGTGTGAGAACTCTTTGCCAGGGGTCATAGAATTGCACGCAGTGCATTTGAGACATCTGTAGCAACCAAGGTTAGTATTACCCGCTTTCTGTACGATTTTAGTAAACTGATCCGCATGAACTAAATAGTTCCTTAAATTTTTGCCTCTTCTATAACTCATAATTGGGCTTTGTGAAAATGAAATTGGTAATGTTGTATCTTTGCTTAATATTCTCCAATTCTCACGCACCGCAGAATCTACTTGAGATGATTTAGTAGGAAAAGATTGAGGAAAGATCAAACGATTGTCGACTCTTGATGGTATCAGTTGCTCTGTAGTTGATTTTTTTGCCTGCTTCAGTGCACGAATTAACACCATTTTTGAATAACTCCTTTCTAAGAATTTCTCATACATTAGATTTAATTGGTCTGTTGCTAGTGTAGGGTCTGAATTATTACGTATTACCCTAAAAAAATTGGGAAATGGGTAATGATTCCTTCAATCTCTTCGGGTGGAAACTGGACGCATGCAAAATAGTATTTCTACCAATCTCCTTAGAATACAGTGTATATCCGAGTTTGTTATATTTAACAAAGATTCGAACATCCAAAAAATTGATTTGAAACTTGCTACATTGGAATGTGAATTTCACTGGAGAGTTCATCATATTTAATGTATACATCATAGACGTAAATGATTCCTCATCACCTCTCCATAATATTAGGATATCGTCGATAAAACGTAAGTATTTAAGAATCTTCTCATGGTGTTGGGCCAAAATATGTTTCATTTGCATTGGCATACATCAGAGCCATAGGCGCTCCCATCGATGTACCTGTTAATTGAACATAGTAGGTGGAGTCAAAACGAAAAGTAATTGAGAGTTAGACACAATTGTAATAACTCCATAATATATTCAATGGGTGGAGAGACTTTTTCACTGTATTATAACAATACTTCCCTCATTGCTTGTATACCTTCCTTGTGAGGGATTATAGTATATAGGCTACTGACATCAATGGTGGCTAGGAGGATCCCTTCCTGTGGTACTGCAATGCGTTGCAGTTCCTTAATCACTGCTGAGGTGTCTTTAACACATGTTGGTAACTTCATCACTGGTTTTTTGAATATATTATCCAACCATTTGCCAATGGGTTCTAATAACCCTTCTATGGAGACACAATGGGACGACCAGGAGATTGTACAGGATTTTTATGAACCTTTGGGAGAGTGTATAGTATGGGACATCTTGGATGTATTTCAAATAGGAAATCAAATTCCTCCTGTGATAGGTATCCGGCTTCAGTTTAATGTATTCTTAATGATGTTACTGAAATTGTGCACAGGATCTTTATCCAGATGTCGATACACCTTGGGATCTGTGAGTTGCTTCAAGATTTCTGATTTATAGTCCTTATACTGCATGATGACGATAGCTCCCCCTTTGTCTGCAGGACGGACAACAATTGATAGATCACTGCAGTAGTTATTCTGTCTTTCAGTGTGAGGTTGGTTTTGCCAACTTGGATAGTCCACAGGGACATGTGATCATGTAAATCACATGGTCAGTGGTGCAAGTTATATAATATATATATATATACCTTGCACTCCTACTCAGTTATTTTGACTCAGTGCTCGATTGCACTAAATATGTAGAACAAAAAAAAAAAAAAAATAAAATAAAAAATAAAAAAAAAATCAGCACTCCCAGGTAATTCACACACAACTTTTTTTTAACTGGAAAAAGTGTCAAACAGTTAACGTTTCAGTTCCACATAGGTACTTTCAACAGGACAAACACCCAAATAATAAATAAAACACACACTTTTATTTCCTATATATGTGTAATATAGTATACCGTATATACTCAAGTATAAGTCGACCCGAATATAAGTCGAGACCCCTAATTTTAACCCCAAAAAACTGGGAAAACTTATTGACTCGAGTATAAGACTAGGGTGATACTACTGGTAAATTTCTAAATAAAATTAGATCCCAAAAAAATTATATTAACTGAATATTTATTTACAGTGTGTGTATATAATGAATGCAGTGTGTGTATATAATGCAGTGTGTTTGTATGAACACATATATACGTATAGCAATAGACCACCCAAGTGCAGCAATATAAAATAGATTAAGAAAGGTAATTAACTTTCCTTACATTCTAGAGTGTAACAAAGGTTCCTCAAATCCTCACAAAAAAAATACAAGATACACCTAGAAAAATAAAAACAGAACATACATAGTGTAACACCATTAAATAAAATAAAAGTTTGTATGAACGCAGTGTGTGTGTATGAACGCAGTGTGTATGTGATGCAGACCCTTAGTGGGGGGTGGGTATTTTTATTATTTTTTTTAATTATTATTATTTTTATTATATATTATTAATATTTTTATTTTATTATTATTTAAATGTATTATTTATTATTTAAATTTCTATTTATTTATTTCTGTCCCCCCTCCATGCTTGTTAGCTGGCAAGGGAGGGGGGCTCTCATTCCCTGGTGGTCCAGTGGATGGGCTGTGTAGGAGGGGGGCTAGCAGAGAGCTGTAACTTACCTTTCCTGCAACTGCTGTCAGCGCCCTTCTCTCTCCTCCGTTCCGGTCAGCTCCCTTCAGCTCCCTCCTCTCCACCGTCTCGCGGTGTGACTGCCGTGGCAACGCTCTGACCCCGCGGCTCTCGCGAGATATACAGTGGGAGCTGACAGGGGAGCTGACAGGACCAGAGGAGGAGGGAGCTGACAGGAGCTGCAGGAAAGGTAAGTTACAGATCTCTGCCAGCCCCCAACAGGACCGCTGGGCTTGTAATGAGCCCGGCAGTTCTGGTCTGTATTATGGCAATGTAAGTTGCCATAATACAGACAGTGACTCGAGTATAAGTCGAGTGGGGGTTTTTCAGCACAAAAAAATGTGCTGAATAACTCGACTTATACTTGAGTATATACGGTAATTAAAGCATTTTATAATATATTATACATATATAATGCAAATATATGATTTCATTATAGGTGTATCTTGAGAAATATGTTTATATATCTCAAAGTACACTTATATATGTATGATATATTATAAAATGCTTTATTTAATATATATATATATATATATATATATATATATATATATAAATAAATAAATAAATAAACTTTATAGCAGCATGGGGGACAGCTCAGAAAGTCCCCCTGCTGGCAGCTCCATAGACTCCTATTGCGGAGATGTGATCATGGTGATCACATGGCCCTGGAGGGCCGGGGTGGCTGGAGCTGCTGCAGTTCCCCCCGACCGTGATCACCGTGGATCGCCAGTCCAGGTAAGTCCAGGGCTCCTATTTGCCGCTGACGTACCTAGTCCTTAACGACCGTTTTTTGTCGGACGTACCTAGTACGTCCGCAGTCGTTAAGGGGATATGTATTTATAACGTCATTCTAAATGTATTTTGATTTAAATATACTATTCTGCATGTTTTTATAAAAGAGTTATTACTACTCTAAATAACATACAAGCAAGTGTACTCATTTCATATGAATTCTTTATGTTTTTGATAATAAGAAAAAATAGCAGTTGAAATCATATGTTTATATAAATAGAGTTTCATCATAATGCACTTTTAAAACACAAGTCACTTTCCCTTCTTATTTTCTGTTTATTTTCAAGATTTGCACATAATTGTATATAAAGGAATTAATAAGCTTAAATATATATTTGCTTGTTCATATACAATGTGTAAAAAGAACAGCACATTACAACCTTTAATTATGTATGTCTTTTTATTCTATTCTAAACTGTGTATGAGCCTAAGGAGGCTCAAATATAGACTGATTAATCCTCCTATTGCGGACTAAGTCCCCTGTGACAGACCGGACGAAAACCGGAAGTGCCGCGCTGAGCGCAAAGCACTATGGACTCTGTAGTGCCGAAAACCCGGAAGTGACGCGACGGCTTTTTAGCCGCATCACGTGACACAAGGACTCACACGATTGGAGGACGACTTTTTCGGCGGGATTTTGAACACTCAAAACAGAGGACACCCAGAGGAAACCCACAAGCTGACTGAGGAAGCCGTTTTTACCGGCGAAACGCGTTTTGGCTTTTAAAGTGGACTCATCATTTTTCCTAAACCACTAAATACTTGCAATACTTTGTTCTTATTTATTTTTTATTTTCTAGAAATTTTTATATTGATTCTATATACTCTGTAATAAATTTTCTTCATTTTAAACAATCCACTGTATCCAGTACCAGTGATTCCAGGGAAGGGTCAGTGTCACCCCACAAATTGACACTAGGCCTATATACTTAGAGCCAGTTACCAAAAGGCTCTAAATAAGGTGAGCACTTTAATTTATTATTTAAGTGTATGAAAATATTACAAAGGATGCTACACTTAGTTGGATAATTCTGTGTCTTTTATATACGTTGGGGAGAGGAAAATACACACTTAACCTAGAGAGAGGGGTTGTGTGATCTACCCTTAAAGACACAGACGCACGGAAGTTTAGAGCCTAATTCACTTGAAAAGGCTCTAAAAAATGTGAGTGTAGATATATCTGTTACTCACTAAACTCTTTACCAAAGTATTAGATATACTGCACAATTATCTGTATATATTTTTGTTTTCTTTTGTATGTATATTACATTGGAGAATATCAAGGATAATTGTCTTAGAATCACAGGTAATTCACTGTGTTTTCACATATTATACAGCGCTGCACTCTTAAAGATAGAAGACCTAAGGGGTGGTAACACCCATTAAGTCTGAAATCTTTTTTGTCTCTTGGTGTTGATTTAAATATATGTATATTAATATTAAAATACAGTTAGAACAATTTTTTGAAAATTTCATTTTATTATTTAATATATATATATATATATATATATATATATATATATATATATATATATATATATATATATATACATACATACATACATATACATATACATACACACACACACACACACACACACACCAAAAAATCCCAAACTGCTTGGCACTCTCCTTACTAAAAAATGAAAATCAGCAAAATGGCCTAGGTGCAACCCACGTTATAAATGTATATATACAGACAGGGGTGCACTCACAGGTCTTAGCAAAGAACAACAATCAAATTATTAGGGTGAAAAAATCTTCATTATATCCGTGAACAAATCGACGTTTCGACCCCTAAGGGTCTTTCTCAAGATCACAGCACACACAAAACAGTGAAAATATATACATGTATTCATTAATCAAATAACTTACCAAACATGTCAGGAGAGTGATTGTGGACCCATTAGCCCGCGAAACCGGAAACCCGGAAGTGCTGTACGCCGCGTTGACGTCATCACGTGGTGACATATCGCGGAATAAAGACGTGGTTACTAGGCGACCAAATGACGCCGCGCCAAAAGTGAAAAGCCAGCATCCCGAGAACGGGATTTTTACAAGAACGGACACATAAGTGTCTAGATGGAGGAAACCAAAATATGCATCTAGTTAGAAAAAAGAAAAAAGAAAGCCAGAATATGCATTTAGTTAAAAAAGTAAAGATCCAGCGACCAAGAGTATTAATAAAATAAGAAAAATATACACTCATTAAACTTATTAGAAACACACTTTAAAGTTTTAAATAGGTGGTACTTAGTACCAGCTAAATTGAATAAAATATATCCTTTAATTAACCCTACCTGTTGGAGATGTAATAGTACTAGAGGCAATTTTAGACATATTTGGTGGGATTGCCATAAACTAAAAAATCTCTGGCTGAAAATACAGCATTTTATATCCAATAATTTAAAACTCGAGTTGATAATTTCTCCAGAGGTAGTTCTGTTGCATTTGAATTGGCCACATATGACATATGAGCTAAAAGTAATTCTTATACATCTTTTCTTAGCTGCTAAAATTGTAATTACGAGATGGTGGAAAAAAGATTTAGAAGTCCCCTGGAAGAAAGTTAAAATCCAACTCGAGTTTCAGATTAAAATGGAGTTGATGCTAAGTAAACAAACACTAAGTAATAAGGTTTCTGTTTGGTTAAAATGTATCGAGATGATTGATGTAGAAAATAATGCTGATCAATTAGAAGTAGATTAATTCCATGAACATTGTAAAAATTATGAGATATATTTGAATGATATTACCACTCTACTATGGAAACTTTTTTGGTGTATTTTTCTTTTCTCTCCCCTATTTTGCTGCTATGTCGTCTTGTATTGTAAATTTGTATGATATATGTATTTAATAAGGAAAAAAATAAAATAAAGATTAAATATTAAAAAATAAAATAAAATAAAATGAACATAAATATAAAAATAAAAATAAAAATCAAATTAAAAATAAAAATAAAATATATACACAACCCGTGTATTTAGTAATATAGTTATGTATATAAGTAACACCAAGACAACCCTTCCATATAAGTGGAGAATGTGGATAAGTGAAGTGAGAACCAGTGAACATGTGTGTGAAGTAGAATGGAAGGTAGTGGTAATTGCATATCAAACCTATGAACCATGTAAATGGTACATATAATAAACACCACTTACAAAACATATGTATAGGCAACATCTACTACAACTACAAATAATTACATCTTATATAACATGCATATAAAATTATATCTTATGTAGTATGCATATAAATGTGGTATTATCCTTTTTAAGTATCTATTATATACCCAATCTTAATGATAAATATCCTGATTATTAACATACCACAAAAAAACAGAAAAAGAGCTATATTAGAAGAGCTATATTAGAAGAGCCATATCTTAAAGGCCAAAATAAGGCCAGTGGATGTATACTTATAAAAAACAGAATATACTATATTCTCATTTAGTCCCTTAGGAGCAACCGTATCCAACTTATAGATCCAAGCTGCTTCCCCCTGTAATAAAGCTTTAGATCTGTCACCTCTTCCCCGTGGCAAACCCAAGGACTGCAATCAGGTAAGTGGGGATTTACTATCAGACGTACCAGGTACGTCCGAGGTCACGACCATTTTTTGTTCGACGTACCTGGCACGTCCGAAGTCTGGAAGGGGTAAAGTAAGGTGTTATTTAGGTTTGGCTTTGAGTGCTTACATTTAACTAAAGAAAGGTAGGGAATAAATAAATTTCGGAGGGAATAAATTTAAGGTTGGTGAAAAAGTTTTCTTTGTGTACAGGTATGTGGAATTTGTAGGGTTGTTCAAGGTACTCACCCTCCAATAACTGATAATATAGCTGCAGGATCTGATATACAGTATGTACCACTCAGGCATTTCCTATGCGAGAGGCTGTTAGTGGGCAAATGAAAACTAATATTTTCCACTTCCTGTCCAGCTTCTCATAAGAGAAACTCTTAGGCCCCAACATCGGCATTCCTGTGAATTGGTAAGCCAATGGGAGGGGTTAAAAGGAGCGGAACAGTAACGTGAATCATGTCACTGGCACTGCCAAAAGTGGATGGACATCTCTAGAATGGGGGCAAGTCCACCTGAATTACTGTTTCAGTGCTCACTGGATGGTCTCAGTAGCCCTAGTGTAGTGAGGATGCATCTAATGATGCTATTGTGCTACATGTTTTTTGTAGAGACAGTTCCCTGGTGTTTGCAAAAGTGTGACAGAACCCAAAAATTGGGACTAACCCATCTAAATTGGAATGTTTAGGAAGCCTTGGCACTGGAGTAACTGGGATAGTTTTATATCCTC